TAAATTAAGATAAAAATTGTATATTATTGTATACATATACCTAAACTTTGTTATCATTTATATTTCTAACATAATGAAGTTAAGTGATTACTACCTCCGTCCCCCTATGTGTGGTACAAGAGAAGGTGACACAGTTATTAATAAAAGTAGGTTTATGTGGTTGATATTCAATTGATAAAGTAATAATAAAGTATGAATGATTTAGAACCATACAAACTTTACCAAATAAGGTATGTGGCAATCTTAGTGGGACGGACCGAAATGGTAAAATGGGACAATCATAGCGGGACGGAGGGAGTAGTTATCATATACTATGTATGAATAAATGTGACAATTCTATCATTCATGTTTGTTAATGTATGTGTGTGTGTGTGTGTATATATATATATATATTATATACACAAAAATACAATATTACTTATCATATATTTATACAAAAATATCAATAAAAACGTAATTTCCATGTTTCCGACTAGTCTCCGACTTAGGCGGTGTTCAGAGGCGGCTCTGATTTTAGTGTAGGCATCGTGAAGGTTCAATTTGACACCTAGTTGAATTTGTTATCCGCCTAAGACACATAGATGCCCGTCCAAGGTGCTTAATTTGACTCCCATTATATGGAATGACGAATCTAAAGGCCCCTCCATACAGAATGATGGGTCCAGAGACCCTAGCTTAATCGGACGCCTAGGGCGCCTAACTGCACATGACGAATGTTGCCAAATACTAAATTGGGAAAATCTGCACATGGCATATGGGTGTGGTGCCGATCCTTGGCGGCACTCCTAGGGGTTGGTGGCGCAGTTGGCGGCGCAATCTGAAACCCTAGGTCAGTCGTCCCCTCTTCGCTAGCAGTTGGCAGCACTCCTAGTTAAGTTTGGTTCAATACTCTTATTTGTTTTTTATTTATCTTAAATGGTCCTGAGAAACTCTGGACCAATCATGGATGCCTTACATGTGCTTGTATGCGGATTAGGGATGTTTTTACTTGGACAGTAATATGTCCCAGATCAGACTAGACCAGACTTGGATAGTTATAAAAATACAAAAAAAAGACCAAAACAGATCAGACCAGCAAATTACAGTCCAAGTAAAAACATCTTAACAAGACATATTGCTCCTGCATGGGTGATTGGCTCAAAATATGGTCCAATGGCTTATGATCAAATTGTGTTTTGCAGTACGTCTTAATGCATGTTTGGTAGACATAACACATAAGTCCATGCGTTCTAACTTTTGTATTATTTAAAAAGTCCCTAAGAGATTTTGGTTGTGTGTTTGGAACGATGAATTTTAAGAGTTGTTTTTTAAAAGATCTTTTTGAGAAGTTACACTTAGAATATGTTTGGCACAACTGGTTGCTAAGATACTTTTGTGAACTTTATAGTAACTGTTTGCTTTCAGTTACTGAAATAATCTTAAAAGGAAAATGTTGCATCTGCTTGATAAAAAGCTGACTGCTTGATTTAGTTCTGTTTGGTATAACAAGTTGTGACTAATTAATGCTAAAAGCTACCGACTTCCTCCCAGAAGCTACATACTGTAGCTTCTCAAAAAAGATCTTTTATTTTAAAAAAAGCTCTCAGGAATTGTCATACCAAACATACAACTAGAAATTTTTAGAGACTTTTTAAACAACACGAAAGCTAGAAGGTGTGAACTTTGTCTACCAAACATGCACTTAGTAGCATGTCACAAAGGTTTGTAGTTTTTAGCATTAACGAGTCACAACAGCTTATACACTACTCTTAACTAAACTAAGCAATCATTTTGTTACTAAACACCTACTGTTTCTCTCATTTAAGATCTTTTGAATCAATAAAAGCTAGCACTTGCTAAAAGCTTACAAAAATATCTTTTCAGTCGGTTGTGCAAAACATACCCTTACTCTGTTTTATCAGGTTCCTATTATATTAAGAGCTCATTTGGTAATACCCAAATCGACTGTATTGGATGATTTTGCTTAAATTTATGAAGTTCTAGCTAAAGTGACTGGATTGACCGATTATGCTGATTTATGAAATTTTATATTTAAAATATATTTTAATAATAAAATAAAGAAAAGATTATATAAAAACAGCTAAAATGTTCTTCTACAATAAGTTCAGTCAACACAGTCAGAAAAGTAACTCCAACATTACCTTTTCTTATTATTACACAATCAAAAGTTAAGTGTTTGGAGAAGAAGTTGGCTAGTAAGTCCCATAAGCCGAAAAATAGGATCACCAAATTTCATCTAATACTGCATATAAGTCATTTATAATATAAAAATGCAGATCTACAAATCAATGCATTTGTTTCGAAAAGAAATTCATTATTTTTTCGGAAATACACTGATACCGTAATAATCTTTAATTTTATTTTCTTTTGAAAAAATAACTTTAAATAATACTCTATCAACTATCATTCATAAACCAATAATAATACGTCATCAAAGTACTACTCCGTAAGCTTCTAATATATTGAAAAAATAAAAATAGTTATTTCTCTCTCTAGGGCTTTTGCCGCTAGAGTAGCTTTTGTTTCCGTTTTCGGCAATGCCGAAGAATGGCCGCCACTCTTGGTGGATAATCCAAGGCTATTTCGCGATCTTCGTTCGACGTAGGTCTGCAGGCAGAGTGCTGCGAAATCGAGTCGGCAAGGCTGAAGTCTCGACGTTGTTTCCAAATCGACCGCAAAGCAGTGATTCTGTCAACACTCCGAAGGCTTTGATGGAGGATATTGTGAATCACTACAAGACGATGGTTAATGAAGAGGAGGTCTACGAACGGAATTTCGATGGAGACGGAGGCGGAAGCATATATGTTCCTGGACAGACCAAAAAACGGGGAGGAGGCGGGTCCGGGCTTCTAGACCCGCCAGACGTGAGACTGATATTTCTACTCAAGAGAACAAGTTATAGTTTTTTTTTATGTTTTACACTTTAATTTCCATGTTAAGACTGTTGTCATTTATTTTTATTATATTTCTTGCTGTAAGACTCTTGCATTAGGATTGGGTGACGAGAGGTCAGCGGTAACCGTCTTTGGCTATATTATGTCCAAGTTAGGATCAACGTGTTATATTGCTTTATCAAAGGTGATTAACTCTGAGTCTGATTCAAGGGCTGATGGTTGCATGCGGTTCTTTTGTTGTTTTAACCCTTATCTGAATGCTGTGATATCAATCTAACCCTCCTTCTTAAAAAAAAACCCCAATAATAATACATACTTTGAAAATGAATTTTAATAATACAAACTATTTCTATGCAAAACTAAAACAATATGAAATCTTTTTTTGACAAAAAATCTAGTCATTTAACATTTCAAAAACCAATGACAACCCATCAAACGAATGATATTTGAGAATACATTTACTTATAATATATTTTGATACAAGTTTTCGGTGAGCTAAATGTCTGAATTTTCAATAAAAAATTGTTATATATCACTTTTGATCTATATTTAAATAATTTATAGGGAAATCGCTATTAACCCCATGAGGTTATGCCATAATTACTAATGCAACCTTGCATTTTCGAAAAACAATTACTTAACCCCTGAGTTTTTATTATTCTCACTGTTTGCCCCCTCACGTTAATATTTGTTAAATTAAATTCAATATAACTCTCAAATTTAATGAAAGTTGTCTATAAAAATAAATTTTAAAGTAAAATAAAATTTAATATCATAATCACAAGTCATTGTTGTTGATCGTGATTTTTTTACTTATCAACTCGATCATGTATATACTATCTATATTTTAGGTCTTAGATGGATTGACAGCTTACAATTATTTCCACCCAATATCGAACAAGTTTTTTAGGTTCGTTATTAGTACTAGACCAATCTTTTAGGTCATGAATTGATAAAATTTCTTTTTTTCTTGATATTTCTTCTTTGTTACACACGAAAAAATGTCATTGAAATAAATTTAGCCGAATGAATTACAATTTACAAACAAGACTTTTATATTCATAATGAAGAGGTGTCAAGAATTTTGAGCACAATATTTCAAACAACTTTCTTTGATATATCTCATGAAAATTATGGGTTTAATGCACCAAATCCCCCTGTGATTTGGAAATTCGGCGCATTAGCCCCCTGTGATTTAAAAAATGTGTCAAACCCCCTTGTGTTTTAATTAATCATGTGCCAAATCACTAATGTGAACAAATTCAATTGTCAAATAAAAGAAAAATGATTAACATTTTTGTATGATTCAGAGATTTTGACATATTTATTTGCATATTCAATCAAAATATTAGTAAAAGTGATTTTCAAATCATTAAATTTATTCATAAAGGGGGTTCTGTGCATGATTAATTAAAACACAAGAGGGTTTTAACGCATTTTTTAAATCACATGAGGCTAATGCGCCGAATTTCCAAATCACAAAGGGGTTTGGTGCATTAAACCCTGAAAATTATGCAGCTCGTGAGTCATCTAACTTAACTACTTTCATTAATATTTATTCCATGAACGAGTAGCTAAGTAAAAAAATAACGATCAAGAACAATGATTTATAATAATGATAAATAAAATTGTATTAAATTTAATTTAACAAATATTAACATGAGGGGGCATATAGTGAGAATGATCAAAACTAAGGGGGTAACTAATTGATTTTTGAAAATGCAAGGTTGCATTTATAATTATAACATAACCTCAGGGGGTTAATAGTAATTTTCCCTAATTTATACTACCTCCGTCCCATAATGGTTGTTCATTTTCAATTTGGCACGATTATTAATAAAGTGATTGTAAAGTAAAAGTTGTGGTTGAGATTTGAGTAGAATTAAGTAAAATGATGAAGACCACACATTTCTTACCAAAAAAAAAAACAAGACATTCATTTTGGGGACACCCAAAAAGGAAAATAGGACAACCAAAATGAGACGAGGGAAGTATTATTTAAAGTTATCTTTCTTTTTCTTTGATAAAATAAGGGTAGAGGTCAAAGTTGGAACTCGGGAGTTTTTTTTTTGAAGGAAAACTCGGGAGTATTTATTTGCAAGGAGTTAGTTCAACCAATTTTTGCTGATACGAAATTACGGATATATGTTTTCTTTTGGGAGGCGCAGCTTTTCATATGACAATGCGGCAGAAGCAAATTACTCGTGCAGGGAGAGAAGGAATGAGATGAACATGGCGGTGGAGCCGCCGTATGTTTGAGTTGAATAAGTAGATCTGCAATGGGCATGGCTACAGTTCGTCAGTGAACATGAATTTCGCCGTCCTTTAAGGGCGTGTTTGGCTGTTTACCGTTGTTGCTTGTTCAGCTATTACTAGGTAGGGAGTAGTAGTGTTTTGGATGGGTTGCAACGGGTCAAAGGCGGTTGATACGGAACTGGTGATCCGTTGCCGGGAGCGTAAAGATCTTATCAAGGCCGCCGCAGACTACCGCTACGACCTCTCCGCCGCACACGTCTCGTACTTCCACTCCCTCAAGGACGTTGGGGACGCCCTCCGCCGCTTCGTCGACGAGGAGCTTGCCGCCGCCTCTTCTTCTTGTCCGTCGTCACTCTCCTCCCCCTCATTGATTCTTCATTCCCATGAGCGCAAGCTCGGCGCTGATGGGGGTGGCGATGACACGGCTATAAAAAGAAAAGGAAAGAAACCTAGAGAGTCATCTGGTGGTAACCTGAGCCCTAGTCACTGTGACTGTGATGGCTGCGGAAAGGAATCGCATTTTTGTCTGTCCTCGGATACGTCTGATGACGACGAGCATCTGCATTTGCACAAAACTAGTCAAAGTAATGGTCATTTGCACATAAATGAAGATGAAGGGCATTTGTCTCCGTCTTCCCCTTTCCGTCATCCAGATTTGCCCATGGGGACTCAGGGACCGTACGGAATGATGGATCAAGAGGCCCCTCCACAAATGGGATTCTGGGACCCTTTCTATAGCTTCAATGCCCCTTTCAATGGGCAGTTTCGGCCCTCTTATGGAGGAAATTCGAATACATATGCATTTTACATGAAGAGATATACCACGGGGACGAAGACAGTAATTCATGATGCAGAAGCTGCTTCGTCCACTGGATATTCGAATGAGTACTGGAGCTCCTCTTATCAGAATGAGCCCGTCTCTTTTGGATATCCAGCAGCAGGGCCATATGACGGTGAGAGTAGGAGGGTTCAGGCTATGAAGCCTACACCTCCAGAGGAGACTCCACCTCCTCCTTCCTCAAATGCATCTGTTTGGGACTTTTTGAATCCGTTTGATGGAATTGACCAGGGGTACTCGAGTTACGTGCCTCATGGAAGCCATGTGTATGGATCGATTAGTAGCAGTCCTGATTCGGATGAAGTGAGGAAGAGGGAGGGGATTCCTGATTTGGAGGATGAAACAGAAACCGAGATTTTCAGGGATCAACCTAAAGTAAAAAAGATGAATAATGAATTTAAGAAAAAGAGGGCAGGAAAGGGGTCGTCCGGTTCCAGTGCAGTGCCATTGCAAAAGGGTGGTGCTGGGGTAGAGCAATCACAGAAAAGCATGGCCCGCAGAAAATCAACTGAGTACACTGAAGACTACTTTGCTACAAAGCCAACTAAACCCAGTGCGGGTACTCCAATTTTGGAAGGTTCACCATCTGAAAATGGTGGGTGCTCTATCTGTGATGTAGGCTCAGTTGATGTCTCGGAGGGCAAGGCCAGCTCTGACACCATTGCATCAAAGAGCCCTGAAGATAGTAACGTGAAGGCAAAAGGAGTGACATTTGATGTAGATCATGAATTTGTATCTTCAAAGTTAAGTAGTTTGAATAATACACCTGCACGTGGAACTAGAGATCTTCGAGAGGTTGTTGCTGAAATCAGAGATGAATTTGAGATTGCATCAAGTTTTGGGAGAGAGGTAGCTGCGATGCTTGAGGTTGGAAAGCTGCCTTACCACCCTACACTCATTCAAGGTATGGTATCTTGTTATACAGAATTGTGATCTCTCCCTAAACATTCATCATATTGAGGGTTTTGTTTTCGGGATCGTATAAGTGCCTCTGCATGGCCATTAATTCTTGCTGCATTCCAATTTATGGATGAATTTCTTTATGTTCCGTTGCGTGCATCTCCTTTAAGATGTCTAGTACTTCAAAATAGTATCTTTTTATTCGGGATGTACCTCCGGAAAAAAAACACATGTCTCAAACTACTTTAAGTCTTCAAAAGAAGTGTTTCTTCTTCTTGGAACATCCATCCCTTCCACAAGCTCAAACATGACCCTCTTACATAAGAGTTTGGGGCTATCTTTTGTGCTTTAGTTTCAAATTCAAGAAAGCACTAATGAAAATAGTTGAGATGTAGTTAGAACTATATGAGCCATTGTGTTATCTGCCCACATTGTTCTTCCAATCATTCAGTTCCATGCATTTATTGTGTAAGCTCACCACCAACCATCATATCACCATAATTTTCATATGTTATTTACTTATTTTGCCCATTGCTTCATGTATTTTGTTTCTTGGTGGGGAAAGGCAAGTGAAACTGTGAAAGGACCATATATTAGTTACAGAGAGAATGAGGTGCATAATGGAGGATAAAGAGGATATATTGACCGGAGTTGGGAATCCAAAAATTTGAGAGTTAAGGATTAAGAATGCTTCTCATGGAACTATATGGCTCTTCTAATCATTTTTCTCACTTATTAAGTTTCCAGTTCTTAAGAGTTTAATAGTTTTCCTTTGTTTGATCACTTTATGTACATAACCAAGTCCTTTGAATTGCCTACATTTTTATAAAAAAAATATCTTGTAAGATGTGATAAATTTGTATATTTAAAATAAAACAGGGGGGATACCTCACCTTTTTCTTTTATATAACTCGGATAAAACATCTCACTTTACATGTTTATTTTTAAAGCAGCGTTTTTATTATATGCAGGGCTCATTTCCAGGATTTTGCACTCGATTGTTCCTTCATCTTCAACTTTGTACACACAATCAGTAAGACTAGATTCAAAATTGGCAAAATCCTACTTTGGGGACGGCGCCCCAGGGGTCAGTCTGAAGGCTTTTTACCTTTCATCTACATTGGCCCAGCTATACGAATGGGAGAAGAAACTTTACAAAGAAGTAAAGGTAAATTTTAGATGGATAATTTCATCTCTAATGTTGTACTACCTCCGTCCCAAATTGATTTGCAAATTTGACTTTTCTTGGTCAAACAATTTTGTTTTGTTTGCTTAATTAGGATGTCAATTTTTAATTATATTCTTATTTGATGTTAACAATTTGGAAGAGATTTTAATGTAGTTTATGAATATGTAAATTTTAATTATTAAAAATTGAGTTAATTATCCGTAAAGAGGGTTGACTTTTACTATTGGTTGACCAAAAAATGTTGACTTTGCAAAACAAATTGGGACGGAGGGAGTATTATTATTACTTGATTATACATAACATATTAAAATGAAGGTTTATGATTTGTATGATTTATATGCATCATTGAATCAATAGATCTTCATGGTGTGGTCATTGTTGCTGCACTTTATGTCTGTGTTTTTATGTACAGACACATCTGTATGTGCGTGCACACATACGTTTACATAATATACATATAACTTATGTATATTATGAGTTCAAATAAAATTAATCAAATACGGAGTACATAATATATAAAATGCCTTAACTTATATGTAAAATTTGACATAAATTGAGTTCAAATAAAAATAATCAAACATATAATACCTAAAATAGTATAACTTGTACACTCTATGCCCCATGTTAATCCCCCCTTCCCGTTTGGCCCATCCTTAAATACTTAACGAGATATTTTGAAAGAAAAGATAGTTTGAATGGTAGTGATTCTTTACTTTCTTCATAAATATGAAATATCAACCACATAACTCCATTTTCTTAAACTTTGTACAAAGTCACACATTATAAATTAAAATAGGGATGCAACATTGTTATGTTAATTTTTTCAAATTCTTCACTAGAAAAAATACACTCCCTCCGTCCCAAAATTATTGTCCCGTTTGGTTTTTCACACAGATTAAGAAAATGGCACTGTAGCGACACTGTTTGGCACTGTAGCGACACTGTTTGACACTGTTTGGTATAAATTTGTTTACCAAATAAGGAAGTTAAAGAAACGGGACAATAATTTCGAGACGGACCGAAAAGGAAAGCGGGACAATAATTTTGGGACGGAGGGAGTATTTTAGTTTGACAATGTAAATAATGAACATTATAGATTCATTTTTTTATTTAATTTATAAATCGAAGAAAGAACTGTTTACAACTATTATATTTTAAAGGATATTTTAGTTTTTCTTTTTCTTGGTGAAAGAGAAGACAACTACATTATGCCGCTATCTGAAGCTTAAAAGTTATTCTTGTAGTTGCTTATAAATAATGTTGAATATTTGGCTTGAGAAGGGATAGGTTTGTCTCTCATTGCTTTACGAAAAGGCGTAGTGGATGACAGGGAAGTTAAATAGAACTGAATCAAATGAATGAAACATGGAGTACAGCTACTACTGTGTTCATTTGTCCCACATTAGTTATAACTTATAAAACCATATAAGAGGATGTGAAGTGTACATCATAGATATAGACAATGATATGAAACATTAAGAAACCAATCTAGAATTAATCTTTTTTGAATAGCAAATCCGTTTGGATTTGCTTTATATCTGCTCTTGTATTCTTTTTTGAATATTTATGAGAAGTATCCTCATTACGCTGTACTGCTGTAGACTTGTTCATACTCTTGAATTCAATAATTGAAACTTAAAAGCTACTCCTTCCATCCCTAAATGTACTCTGCACTGTCTGCAGTTTCTTCTGTCAACCATCTCAAATTTTCTTCACTGGTTTCCTTTAGGAAAAATTGTAACTTTCATATGACCTCTTCTTTGTAGCTTTTCTAGTTAAATTTCAACCACATAATTTGATTTCCTTAAAAGCTTTGCCAAAAGCAACTATAAAGCTGGATTTTGGACAGAATTAAATGTTAGACCCCAAACTTATTTGTGCCTACATTATGGTTACCTCCACTTTTCACTTTATTTTTATCGTATCTACCATAATGTCATGACAAGTGGTACTCTTCTTAATTTGATGAAGGTGGAAGAACAATTGCGGCTTGTATATGAAAGGCAATGCCGGAAGCTAAAAGTTTTGGATGAGCGAGGAACAGAGTCAAGTAAGATTGATGCTGTTCAGGCTTCGATTAGAAAATCGCTCACAAAACTCAACGTTTCTTTAAAAGCAATTGATTTTATTTCAAGTAGGATACACAATTTAAGGGATGAAGAATTACGACCCCAAGTTACAGAATTAGTTGCTGGGTGAGTACACATGAGACTATTCCATTAGTCTCAATTCGGAGTAGTTATTTGCTTCGTTTCCATGTATGTAACTTGATGAACTTTAGCCCATTGCCTTTCACTTTTATGCTTATTGATTTTGATGCAATTGTTTTTATTTTAGAACTTATCTCATATCAGGCTCAATATCAAATTACTATATTAGCTCTCTCTTTAATGCTAGTTGGCATTGTAACCAGCAGTACTAGTTTCCCCTTTTCAACAATTAGCTCTAGAAGTTGGACTTTATCCACACCCTCTTTCTACTACTTCCTTGCTATCATTCATAAGAGGGCATCTATAGGCTGCTTTCAAGACCCCCATACTCATGTTGTTCTAGCATCTCTTTGTTTTTCTTCCATTAGTTTTACATGCAACGTATTCATCCTTCTTAGTCTCATCCTCTTCTTTGTATACTTCAACAAGTGATAGCATTCTCATGTTTACTACTTGACATTTTTAATGAACTATTTATATGTTTTTGGTCATATGTTTTAACGACAGTAAGGCCTTTTTGGAAACAGCCATTCTACCCCGCAAGCAGGGTGAGAGCAGTATGGTCAACTCTTCAACCTTTTACATATTTCAACTTTTTCCTTTTTCTTCAAAGTTAATCAGTTAAAGTTTGTTTATTTCATGAATGATTAGTTGCAGTTGTCATTTTTGTAGTTATGATGTGAAATGAATTTCATAATCCATATCTCTTCCTAGAAAATCCCCTCTTCCCTGCTTACCCAAATTAATACTTTAATGTAATATTCTAATTTTACCTAAATTGTTTTAACTGACAGCCTGATAAGTATGTGGAGATCCATGCTTCATTGTCATCAGAAGCAGTTCCAAGCAATTAGGGAGAGTAAAGTGCGTGCTCTGAAGGCAAACACTGGGTGCCATGCAGATTCCGCTTTGAGAGCTACTCATGAACTTGAATTGCAGCTTCTCGCGTGGTGCAGTCGCTTTAATCATTGGATTTGCACTCAGAAGTCTTATGTTGAGTCCTTACATGGGTGGCTTCTTAGGTGTCTTTTTTATGAGCCAGAATTAACTCCTGATGGACCTATCCCCTTTTCACCTGGCCGTTTGCATGCACCTCCAATTTTTGTAGTTATTAATGATTGGAATATGGCAATGGAAACCATTTCTGAAACTCGAGTGGCGATGAGTATGAACAGTTTTGCTTCAAACTTGAGGAAACTATGGGAAAGACAAGGCGAGGAGCAACATCAGAGGCTTAGGGCTGAATATCTTTCAGAGGATTACAAGAGACGACTAAAAATGCTCAGGATGGAGAAAGAAAGAATGGAGCATGATGGAGATGCGGTGTCACATAAGACTGGGGACTCGATGGCTCCATCTGCAAATGGGGGTTCACCGTTGGATGGTAAAAAAGTTGACTTAGACATGGTCCGGAAGAGGTTGGTCGAAGAGAAAGTAAAACACAAGAATACTTTAAAGCTGGTACATGAGGCAGCTTCAAATAGTTTACAAGGCGGTTTGCTCCCGATTTTCAAAGCTTTGGAGAATTTCACATTGGAAGCTGTGAAAGCTCATGAGCAAATCAGGTTACACTATCTTAACCAATGAGCTCTGAATGGAGTATTTATTAGTGAGCTAACTGAAAGCCGATCTAACATCTACCTGAAGGTTTTGTACAACTTGGTGGAATAGGGAAAATTTCTAAGTTTATAGTTTTTTTGTTGCAGAATTCTTCATAGTTCTCTAATCTCTCTAACCTGGTCGCTAGGCAAGTTGTACAGTGATTAAGTTTATTCATTACTAACTGGGATCTTATTGATCAAATAATATTCAGCGAAATATGTGAAAATTTTGTTTTGGCGGTTGATGGATGAATAACTCTTATGCAGTTCATTTTTGGGCGCAAAAAATATGGAAAAGTACGGAAAATGTACTTGTGGTTAAGCCCGTTTTCAGATAGGGTCATGTGTTTCATTTTTTATCAAAGTGGTTCATGTGTTTGAATTCCGTTAAAATCGCTTGAGAAAGACGGTTAATAGTAACTCCAATTTTCAAAAGTGCCCGAACAATCAAAAGAAAAATACTGGAAGGGTGCGCCTCAACAAGACGACCGGCGATCGCTAGACAATCTTTATTTTTTGTTTCCAGCAACCCTTGTCATCGGAAAGTCTAACGAAAAGTGATATTAACGAAATCATTTTTTAAAAAAATAATTCAAACAGGTCCAAAAAATCCAAAGATGAAGTGGTTTGGAGGTCATCTTGACGAGGCACACCTTCCGGTATTTTTCTTTTAATTTTTCCGGCACTTTTGAAAATCAGAGTTACTATTAACCCTCTTTCTCAAGCGTTTTTAACGACGTGACCCTTTGTGATAACGGAATTCAAACACATGAACTCGTTTGATAAAAAATGAAACACATGACTCTATTTGACATCAAGCTCCATAGCCCATATGGTTCAGCTTATAGTTATATAATCTCACATTACATACAACAATCTTATAACAAAGGCCGAAGGGCATGCTCACTACATGGAAACGTGTGTACCAGCCTTTTTATGTACTACGTGTTTTCTCGAAGGTACTTGCTAACCGGCTGAAGAGATGACTTCATTTATGCATTTCAGAACAGCAGAGTGCCTTTATTCCTGGGAGAAATATTGTAGATAATATTATACTTGCATTTGAGTCTCAACATTTTTTGAAGAGGAAACATCAGGGGAAGATAAGCTTTATTGCTCTAAAGCTCGACATGAGCAAGGCGTATGATAGAATGGAGTGGCCGTTTTTGGAAGGTATGATGCGACACTTGGGCTTTGCGGAACGTTGGATACGCCTGGTGATGGAGTGTGTCACGTCGGTTTCTTATTCCATCCCATTTGATGACTCGGAGATTGTTCCGCCAAGACCGGGGAGGGGGCTCTGGCAAGGTGATCCTCTCTCGCCATACCTTTTTCTCTTGGTGGCCGAGGGCGCTGCTGGTTTTGCGGAGGAACGAATCCATGAGCAGCCTTCATGGAGTCTCGGTGGCTCGGGGGCGCTGCTGATTTAACATTTATTTTTTGCAGACGATAGCCTTCTTTTTTTCAGGGTGTGGAGGATTTTTACAAATCCGGATTTGCTTGTTGGCAGAGTGTTCAAGGCTCGATATTTTCTGAGGGGGGAATTTTTGTCTGCTAAAATTGGCCATAATCCCTCGTTTATTTAGAGGAGTATTTTTCAGACTCAGGAGGTGGTTCGGGGTTGGGGGATCTATTAATATTTGGGAGGAACCTTGGTTGCCTGATAAGGATAATTCTAGACTTATTACGCCAGTTGGTGCGGGGTTACAGCATACTACGGTGGATAATCTTTTTGATACCTCTGAAAGAGCTTGGGATATTGATATTCTTAACAGAGATGCATTTTTTGACAGAGATGCATTGCTAATTCAGGGCATTCCGATTAGCTCACGTTCAGTGTCGGATCTAAGATGTTGGAAGTGGGAGGATAACGACCATTTCTCTGTTAAAAGTTGTTATCGGTATCTGATAGGTGAGTTTAGCTCGGCTGAACAGGGTGATTGGACGTCTATGTGGGCGTGACAATTACCACCGAAAATCGAAATTTTCTTCTGGCAAGTGTGCAACGGTTGTCTCCCTACTAGAACCAACTTGAGTTCACGATGAGTTGATTGCTCTGGCCATTGTGATCTGTGTGGAGATCTTGGGGAATCCTTGATACACATTTTCAAGTCTTGTGCGGTTGCAAAGGAGGCGTGGTCGGTAGTGTCTCGGAGTTGGTCTGATCATGGCACTGTTGACTTCTTGGAGCAGGTTCAAAAGGAGTTTCAGTCAAAGAAGAAAGGAAGACCTGATAAAGTTGATATGGGGTTGTTGGGCCATTTGGGGCGAGATAAATCGTCGGGTTCGGCAGCACTCGTCTTTTCCGGCGCGCCAGTTTATGCCCAAAGCCGAGGTCTTTGTGTCAGGATAATTGTAAGGGAGTCTGAATTGCAGGGTAACAGGTAACTGCTTCTTGGCGCCGTCCAGCCGCGGAGTTGATGAAGTCGAACGTGGACGCTGCTATTCGGGAGGGCTTTTGCGGGCTGGGTTGGTGTTTAAGGGATGGTGAAGACAGGTTCGTGGCTGGGGCAGCACGCCGGTGGCAGGGGAAGCTCTCTGTTTTGGAGGCTGAATTAATTGGAATTCGAGAAGTGTTGAGTTGGTTACATGGTTCAGTTTGGAGGAATATCGAAGTCGAATCTGATGCATCCCATTCCATCTCGGAAATCTTGAAGGGCTCTAGTATTTCCTTTTACGGATTGATGGCACACGATATTAGAGATCTTGCTAAGAAATTTTCTAGCATTTCATTTTTTTTTATGTTAGACGGTCAGTGAGGTGCATTGTCCAAGGCATTTACCCTAGCGAGAGCTGAGGGTCGTTTTTGGTTCGTCGTCTTCGTGCGGCGCTGGAAGATTGCCGATCAACAGAGCCGAGGGGCGAGACTCGGACGACTGGTGCAGCGGTGCGATGGAGAACGCAGGAGAAGATGAGCGTAGAGAGGTCCGCGACCGAGAAGACGAATAGGCAGGTAAGCTCGTTGCTAAATATGGAGGCCTGTGAATCTGGGGATTAGAAGATGAACTGCTCATTGAAGACAAAGAGGAACGGGAATTGGCGACCGGGGCAGTGAAGGCGAAGGAATTTCCGGTTGTTGGGATGATTCTCACGGACAGTCATCCGATTTCTATTCTTCAGGGATTTCATGGCTGATTTATGGCGTCCGGGCAAAGGAATTTCTATACAAAAGATTGGTGAACGGAGGTATCCGTTTAAAATTTTCCATTCTATTGATATGAATCGTGTCCTGGATAATGGACCCTGGCTGTTTGATCAGAATTTGATAGTGTTAAAAGCTGTTAAACTGGGTGATATCTCGATTACGATGTTGTTAGATGAGTTTGAGATCTGGGTACAGATTCATAATGTGCCGTATAGTTTTGAAAACTTGGGAACGACAAGGAGAATTGGGAATCATTTGGGGGAATTTGTCACTTGGGATGATAAAAAAAGGAGGCTTATATGCGTGTGAGAGTCCACATGAATACTGATAAAGCTTTAAAGATTGGAACCACTCTAAGAAAAAGTAAGGGAGAAGGGTATTGGGTAGACTTTAAGTATGAAAAGCTGCCAAGCTTCTGCTTTTGTTGTGGTGTGATTGGATATGCAGAGAAATTTTGCCCTCTTCTGTACGAAAACGAGGGGCATGCTGTGACTAGACCTTTTGGGCCGTGGCTTAGAGCGAGTGAAAGGAAATCGATGCCAAATATGGGTAGCAAATGGAAGATTTCGGAAGAGGGCTCCTCCGGAGATGGCTCGCATTCATCAAGTATCGTGAGGTCAGTGCAAGAGTTGGACCCGGATGAGACGGGAGAGAGCACCAAAGCTGGAATGGAGAATGTTATGATCTTGGGTGAGATAGAAGAGGAAGGAGTGCCAGGAGAGCTGAAGAGGAGATGCACTTGGGAGGATCAGGCTAGGGAGGATGCTGAAAAGGATGCTATGGCGCTGGACTCCCCAAAAAATGGGGTTGGGGCAGGTGCTGGTCTCCAGCCCCGCCAGATGATCTGATGTTGATTACAACTTTTTTAGCTGAGAAACTTATTTACTCTCTTTATTTTGTTTTAGTTATTTCCCACGTTCTGGATGTTGTTTTTGTTTTGTTTGTGTTGTGTTTTTCCAGCAAAAAACTATTGAAACTAAAACAGGAGATAAGGAGTCGTGTGTGCAAGTCACATGCTCAGGTAAGCCCAAAGCGGGATTAGCGAATTATATGACTTCTACGGAGGTGATTAATTCAGAGTCTGGTCCTTGGGCGGACGGTAGACAGAAGATTTGTTGTCACTTTGTACCTTGTTTTGGTTTGGTCCGTTTGGTAATGATAAGTTAAGCCAGTTTCGTTCAAAAAAATGTTAGACGGTCAGCGAACAAGATGGCTCACGCTATGGCTAAGGCGGCATGTTTTTTGTCTGATCCTCAGTATTGGTTTACTATTCCCCCGCTATTTATTTCTTCTGTAATCGACAATGATTTGATTAATGCTGACTAATCCTCTTTCTCTAAAAAAATTGATACCATGTCTTTAGAGGCATTTTACTTTATGAATATTTATGATGTGTTTATTTCCTTGTGAAATACACGGTTAGGTCGTTAATACACTTGGAACCATCACTCTCCATTGGTGGAAATACATTTTAATTGGGGTGTAGTGATGGACCAGGACCGGTCGGACCGGCCCGGTACCTGGCCCAGACCGCCACTGTGCGGTACCGGACTGGCCTGGTTGACCGGGACTGGGCCTAGGACACGACCCGGTTGACCGGGTCCGGGCCTAGGACCCGACTCGGGGGGTGTTTTGGGAGCGGGCTCGGGCTGCAGGTCTCTTGGAATCGGCCCGGCTGATCGGGAACCGGCCCGGGCCTTTTTTTTTTTTGGTTTTTTCCGAATGGTTTGGGTAAGAGGCGGGTTGGGTGGTTTGGGGGTGGGGTTAGAATTAATAAGCAAAAACAAAAAAAAATATAGTACCCGACCCGGTCCCGGAACATAGCCGGGCCGGTACCGGGCCTTCATTTTCCAAAATCGGTCCCGCACTTAACCTGATAGTTTTTTCCGAGGAGATTAAGTTGGTGATGTGATAGTTTTGTTAGAGGAACATCATTGAGTGACCTATGTTGTTTATTAGAGGAACATCATTGAGTGGCATATGTTATTTATTAGAATAATTCTGGATCAAAATATCAATCCGGATTAATTTAGAATATCTAAATAGTATGTGATAGGTTAGTGCAGGATCAAGAAAAAGATGGTGATAGAGAGTAATAAAAGAAATTTGAGATTATGAAAAATTATTATGTTGCAATAGTTAA